CGTTTGGAATCAAGCAAATGTACCCAAACACCTCTTGAAAAATCATCCACAATGGTCAAGAACATTGTAGAACCATCAAAACTTGGAGTCCTATATGGTCCCCATAAATCACAGTGTATCATATCAAATTTATCAACAGATTGATAAAAACTTATAGGAAAACTCCCACGAGTCTGTTTAGCACGCAAACAAATGTCACAACAACTGTGACTACTCTTACTTGTTCCAACTTCAGGAACAAGAGACAAAACATGGGAGGAAGGATGTCCAAGTCGTTTATGCCAAAGATCAAACTTACTCTCCTTCTTCGCACTGCACACCATATTCTTTTCAGGGTCCTTGAAGTAATAAAGTCCTCCTTCCTGCTCACCCATACCAATTTCTGTCTTCAAACACAGATCCTGTAGTATACACTTATTGTTGGCAAAACGTACCTCACAATTCGAATCCCTTGTCAATTGTGACACAAAGATTAAATGGCAACTCAAAGTAGGAACATATAGGACATCGTGCAGAATTAATGTTTCTGTTAATTTAATCTTCCCAGATTGTACAGAAACAATTCTTTTCCCATTGGGCAAACCAATCTCACATGGTGATATTCCCACGACATCATGCAATAACGAAATATCACCAGTCATATGATTCGATGCCCCAGTATCTATGATCCAACGCGGTGACACAGGAATACCTGAAAGCTTCATACTAGAAACAGACGATGATAGGGAGAAAACCATCTTCCTTGGTTGTTCATCGGCCATAGCGGTAGCAGAGTGGCGTACGGCGGTGGCGGAAGAATCAACAGCAGCATCAATCAAACAGTCTGCCGACGGGACGGTCAACGTGCTCGACCGTTCTAGAGCAACGGTCAACCGTTTCGTTATCCGGCAACAGCAACAATCGACTAAAACTGAGCAACGATCGATGGACGCCATACCGGGCGATCGTGAACAGTAGTCGCAGAAAAATGCTAGGGTTTTGGCTTTGATACCATGAAAGAATAATGAATTGGGAGCAAATTCTCTCTAGATTTCTTGTCTTCAATTTACAAAGTAGACATGTATATATAGGCTCTCACAGGTTGAGAAACCTAAGTCCAAAAGGAAACGAAATCCACCCTATACAAGGAAGCTACCAAAAATAATATATACCAAAATATATACGAATATTCTCTTTCCTTTAACAGTCCCTCTCTAAACAATCTATCTTTTCTATTTCAAGGAAAAAGAGAGTGGTACTGGTTTAATATTTTTGTTTCTAAATGAATCCTAGCCACAAAAGATTCATTTTTTTTTTCAAATTTCGTGCCAAGACAAACCTAGAATTTAAGGTGGGGATGGTAGGAGTGTATTTTTTTTATTTGTATAGGCAACAACTGAGACTAATCAAATGCAATGCTGGTGTGGTGGTTGCAGGTGGACACAAGCCTGGAGTCTTCGAGATAGTGTTCATTTGTTTGACATTATTCATTTATTTGATATTTTGAATTTGCAAGAGTGACATTATATATGATAATTTGTGGCATCATGCAGTATCATATGTGACATTATATGCGACCATGTTTGAAATTATACCTTCATTATTGTTAATGTGGCACTGCATGTGACGAAGACTATGCAGGGTGTGATGGTGGTGTCGGTAATGGTGCAGAGTGTGATGGTGATAGATCTCGTCGATCTCTAGCCTCACGTTGGATGTGAAGATCGGGAAGCTTATTAGTTCGGTGGCCGCTATTCCCCGCCTCGACATCCTAAGTTTTGAGTGGGTTTTCGAAGCTCTCTGCACGGGGCTGCGAACACCAGAAAGGGGATTTCCTTCAACGGTAGAATCACAGCCGCCACCAGCTTCTCTCGTGTCATTCTCTCATATGGCCATCCTCACCCTGGAAAAGTAGATCTGCTAAAGGTCGCATATTTACGGCATTTAAGAAGGTACGAGTGCAGTTCGCCCAAGCTAATCCCGTCATGGCGTGTCGCCGATATGACGTTGCTGCTGTTAACTACTATCAGACACGAAGAAATATATACACAAAAAACAAGGATGGCTACAGAGATTGCTAGGTCCTAGCATTTGGAAGGGAGTAACAAAGTTGATGGTGAAGAATTGTTGGGGTCACTACCCATAAGGATGTTTTTGAAATTACTAATGGAACTTGTGATCTAGATGAGGGGGTATCTGTGTTACGTTCCCACCCCATGGTTAATGGCTAAGGGTGATTAACTCCTATTTTGGAGGTTTTATCTTTCAACTCTTATTTTGAGATTTTATCAATGTTTTACTCATATTTTGCTTCTTAATCCTAAAATATACTCCGTACGTACATACATGCTCCGTCCTAAAACTAATTTCTCATTTGATTTTTCACATTCTCCAATGCAGCACTTTGACATTTAATATCTCTATTTTATATAAATATGTATTTAATAATAATATATTTCAAAAATATGTTTCAAAATATATCTATTGATAATACATTTATATGAAATTCAATACACTTTTTTTTGTAATATGCAGTCAAAGTTTAAAAAGTTTGACTGTAAAAGTCAAACTGGGAAGTTAATTTTTGGACGGAAGGAGTAATTATCTAAATTTTGGGCAAATTCTTATGTATTTCTAAAGTTCATAGTTATTATGATGGATTTTAGCGTATTAAGATCATAAAAGAATAAGACCTTTTTGTAAGAAATTAAAGAATAGATCCACTTGTCAGTCAATGAAAAGTATGAGAAAGTCCGCATTTTACATGTGGATTTTAGAAATATAGAAGACCAATTCTTTTATTTAACATATTCCCTCCGTCCAACAATAATGTTCATGTTACGCGTTACGATATTTGACTAAAGTTATTTTTAAACCATTTTATATAAAAAATGGTATAAAATTTAAAAAAAATGAAAATTACATATCTAAAAACTACATGAAAAAATCTACAAAATTATAGGTGACATCCCTATATTGTTTTATCAAATGAACAACAAAAATATGCCAATAAAGTGAACAAAGATGTAAATAGTGAACGAGAGCATTAGTATTATAAAAAATCATTATAATTCTTTTAAGTGAGAATAAATAAATAAATACTCCACCTGGTATGGTGTTTTATCATGGATCGGACAGTCAATTTTAAATTAATTAGGAAGATCATGCGATTCCAAGCAACTAAATAATCCAACCTTGATGAGACTTCAAGGTTAGACGTGACGGAACATATAAATATGGATGCACACATGCCTTACCTCTTTGCACATGGCAAGTTCAATTCTTGTCTTTATGAATGAAAAAAAAAATTTGTTTTTCAAAAAAAAATTACTCATTAGCAATATGTTTGGAGATTTGGAATTAGATTTTAAATCTAGATTTGACTCAAAGTTTCATGTTTTGGAAATCTTGGAAAATTTTGGATTAGGATTTGAAGTAAATTCTTCTAATGCATAATCAAGCTCAATTCAAAAATCATGTACATTCTGGCGATATTTGAAATTCAAGAATTAAAAATTTGAAATTGAAATAAAATGATGGTTCTCAAACACGACCTAAAGATATTTTCACCACCGAAATTATTCTTTTCACCTTAATTTTAACTGGTCTTTGTATCACACATATAGAATTTAAAATCTAAATACAATTTAATCATTTTAATTGACATATTAAGACAAAAGTGTATGATATTTCAAGTCTGAAGTTTGAAAATATGAAAATATATACTCGAAAAAGAACAAGCTTGGGGTGATTCTAAAAAAGAGCGCACACTACTTTTCAAAAATAGGAGTAAATTAAAATAAGTCTCAAATGGAAAAAAAAGGCTATTAAAAATTTTAGATATAAATAGGAGTTACGGAGTATTCTTCTCATTGAAGAGACAAATTTGTCCTACTTAATAATAACACTGTTACACAGCTATACTTTACCGTCACAATGCCACCACTGTTGTCGCCACGTTGCCAATTCTGCCGTCACACTCCTTGTGTCAATTTCGTTGCCACATTGCTAACTGAGCCACCACACTCTCATCCTTCTCTGCCACACTACAACGTACCCTCCACCGCCAAAATGCCACTACTGTGGCCACCACACTACCAACTCCCAATGGCGGATCTAGAAAAATTTATGATTGAGGGCACCATTAGCAGACTGTATCCAAGAACTTTCGACTGAGTACGAAAACCAGTGCGTGCTTTTTTTAAAAATGTAACACGAAAATGTGAAAGAGCATAAATTTGTCATAGTAATTTTAGAATTTATACATCAATTTAGTTTTCAAAAAAAAACTTTCAACGTACTACTCCAATCTATTTGTTCGGAAATATTTTTCTCATATACGGAGTGTTATTTACACTGCTAAACTTTATTCACTTTGTTTGATTATTTTCACTACATATTTCATATATAATATAGTTATGTCAACTGTTATTTTGTAGATTTTTATGTAGTGTTTAATATATAAATTTAATTTTTAATTTTACACATATAATCTAATAATTAAAAATAATTTTGGTCAAATTTTATACACCGGAATGAGAAAACAATTTCAATGGAGGAGTAATTAAAATGAATAAAAATCAGTATCAAAGATCAAAATCTTCTTCTCTGCACCTAAAAATACATACTCCCTAAAAGATACTGTGTAAAAGTGAAAGCTGTGTCCATTTTAGAAAAATGAGTGGGGAGCTGTCAATTTAAAACAAAATAAATGGGGGCATCGTTTTTTTAATCAAGAAAAGACTAATTTATCAACTGGAATTTTATCTAAAGCCTAAATTATTAGAATTTCTTAATAGTAAACGTGCATTTGCCCCTGCCAACTCCTCTATCACACTCTTAACCCCGTTGCCACACTGCTACCACCACCACACTGCCAATTCCGCCATCACACTACGCACGTAAAGTGAAATAGACAATTAAAAGAGAATGAAAGACTTTATTATTCACATAATCAAATTATATCTATTTTTTTTTATCTATTTTGATGAGTATTTTAATAAAATAAAATAGTTTTAACCCCACTTATTTGGTGAATTTTTAAAGTGGATATACTTCCTATAGATAGTTTTAGAGTTCGTGCATATTGATTGATAATTAATGGGTCGATTTTTGTACGTTTATGAGATTAATGTTGTTGTTAACCTACTAATAATAAAAAAGATTCGGAGTAATATTTGGACGTACTATGAGTCTTCATTGATTTGATTTTTGTATCTCTACTAGTATTTTGACCCGTGCCATGCACGGGGCCGAACAAAAAATTTTTCAATTCTTTTTTTCATGTATTATTTTTTGTGGATTAAATAAAATAAATTTCTTACATGATTTTTAATACTATATATACATCAACATCAAAATAGAATGAATAATATTTGAAGAATTGAAAGTATATACAAAACAAAGACTTATTAAAATCCAAATTTTTTGAAACACTTCAGAGTATACAACATTTTTGGTATGGTTGCAAGAGTTTCTATTGTCATCTAAATAAACATTTTTAATTATGTATTTTTCTTCACTCGTGAAGGAACAACATAAAATTAATCATAAGTGAATGCTGACTTAGTTAAAATAATCTAACAAAAGATAATGTTTCACCATAACTTTTGTTAATAGTCATAGCAAAACATAAAACTATTGGGAATTGTCTTTTTTTGAAACTTTAAGGGGTAGCCTTGGATCATGTGATACCAAATTTATTCGAGGTATGTAAACCTTTTTCCCGTCTTGATTTCTCGAAACCACGATTGCACGGTTAACATTTTTTCGTACCTCTTCAACAATTAATCTTATACCATTATACAATCCAAATAACATAATCAGTACACTTTTTTTCAAAACTATTTTTTGAATTGGTTTGGGATCCCCGGACATCTGGATATTTGATTTCATTCAAAAATTCAAATGTTATCCAATAAGCATCAACCAACACCTACATTGGCATCTGCTTGCCATTAAGAATCATAACTCAATTACCCCTTTTTCATCACTGAGAATGAGGAATAAGACAAACTCATTTATCATTTCAACAACTTTGAAAGTGGGTGCTAA